AGTCAGACAGAGATGGAAACAGACTATAAAGAGTTGAGACTCTGCCAGGTGTCAGGCCAGCTGTGCGTCATGTAACAGACAAATATCATTAAAACTGTTTGATGGCAACAGCAGCTTTACACATTCCAGGTGAATTAGTCTTTGAAAACATTACAGGAGGAAGAGCTCACCAAAACAAAATGTTGGGTTGGAGTTTGGACGCTCAAGGCCAGTACATATTCAATAACTCAGACTATTCTCAGAGCATAAAAACATTCAGTCCAAACAGGAAACAGTTTTTGACTGTCAGGATTTCTCACATTGTTGACTGAGTACAGGATGTGTTACTTTAGCAGCATACGGGGCTTTCCTTCACGCTAACTTCAGTTTAGATGAGAGAGAACGACGTGGAGGATGAGAAAATACAGCTGAGATGCATGTGAACCATGTGTGTTTTATTTGTTTCCATGCACATTTGTTTCTCATTTTCAGCTAGACGCATGCAGAGTGAAAGGTTTCTGTCCTCTTGAACCAACAGGGAGGATAAGCTCAGGTTTGGAAACAGTGGTATCCGTACTGACAAAGAAAATACTGGACACAGAAACAATCCTCAGCCTCCCAGTGTCAGAAAACTTCCTGTTCCATGTGATAATGTGATAGTGATCGTGTCTATCAAGGTGAAAAATCCTTTTATTTTTTTAACTGTTTTACTGAAACATCCATCTAAAGCAACGAACACAAAGAAAATTTAATACCTTTCTCAACATCGAGATCGAAACCCAAGTATGCAAATATCGATGCTGAGGTCTCTTGTCCATCAATCAACAAGCTGTAAAGCTGGTTGACAGCCTTTAAATCCCACAGTAACATTAGACTCTGGAAAGAGGGGATTGTGAAGATGCTCTGAAGGGGGTCCTGGCCTCTTGGCTTTGTGTGTGAATGGACAGTATCTCCCCCCTTCCCCAGTCACAGCATTGAAGCGGTACATGATCTACCTATGGCTGCTGAGCTGTCCTGACCTGTTTAGGCCTCCTGCAGGCCGGCTCGGTTTCTGAGGTCCTGTGTCCTGGTGTCACATGAGAACACCATCGATGTCTCATGCTGCCCTTTAACTACTGACAGAACAAGACAATGTCTGCAAATATATTTTGGATTCCACAAACTGCTTTTTCAGCTCATCAATGCGTCTGGCTTGAGAGGACACATATTTAAGACCCTTTTTAATCACAGCTTGAGACGGGCTACAAAGTAACAAAAACATCACTGTGCTGGTGGCACGAGACCCAATGAGACGGTTTTAACATGAGGAGGGTTGACAAATGAGCCATTCTTCTGAAGAGTGTCTGCATGTATGCATTCAAGCAGGGAGAGAGAAAGAGCGAGTCGACGGGTGCAACGTGAGCCCCTTCACTCAGATCGGTAACACTAACTCGTGATTTCTTTGTGTCTGAAAGTCAACTTGTTCTCACAAATTGCCTCAACACTTTCTCTACAGAGGATAAATTCCCCTGCCTGAAATCCAAGTCTGTAGTTTTAGGACAGAAAATTTAGATCTCAACAGAAAAAGAAAAAAAATCATGACAAGGCTCCAAATACACATCTGACTTCTGTCTATTAATATAAGGCAGGTTCTTGTGGACAGCTGTGTTCCTAATCTGGCTGGAATGAAGGTGGAGAAGGAGAAGAAAGACTTCAGAGAACAGTAAGATGCTGTTGGAGAAGGAGATGAAGTTTAAAGCCAGCAGGGGAAAAAATGTGCAGGAGAGACTTTCGACATTTCACAGTGAAATGCTAACGGCTAAGAATAGACTTTGCACTTGTGTGCGCGTGCGTGCGTGCACATGTGTGCCGTCAACCATTTGCAGTGTCCGGTGAGTGTTTGCTGAAAACACACTCACTGCTGGAAAACAAATTATGCTGGCTAGATAAATTAAGGAAGTGTGTGTCTTTAAAAAAAAAGATAAAACAATGCGTTGTGTTTGTGTGTAAGGTCAGTCAGTGGAAGCGCACAAAGTCACCGGACACCGTCAGGAACACCTGGCTAGTGCAGGGTTGGACCCCCTTTTACCTTCACAGCTACTTTAGTTCTCGTGGCACTGATTCAACAACGTTCTGGAAATATTTATCAGAGGTTTTGCTCCATGTTGGCGTGACAGCATCACACAGTTGCTGCAGATTTGCTGGCTGCACATCCGTGATGTGAATCTCATGTTCCATCCCAAAGGTGCTCTGTTGGACTGAGATCCAGTGACTGGGGAGGCCATTTGAGCACAGTGAACTTACTGGCATGTTCAATGAACCATTTTGAGATGGTCCGAGCTTCGTGACATGGCACTTTACCTCCTAGATGCAGCTATTAGGCTGTCTTGTTTAAATTATGCTTAAATGGTAATAACGGGCCCAAAGTGTGCCATGAAAATATCCCAGACACCACCAGCAGCAGCCTGAACCACTGATACCCGGATGGATCCATGCTTTCATCATCTGAATGTCGCAGCACAAATTGAGACTCATCAGATCAGTCCACGTTTTACCATCTTAGTGGTAGCCTCAGTTTCCTGTTCTTAGCTGGCAGGACTGGTCTTCTGCTACTGTAGCCTGTCCGCCGTATTCAGAGATGCTCTTCTCCATACTTTTATAAGAAGTGATTGTTTGAGTTACTGTTACCTTCCTATCAGCTGAAAGCAGTCTTGATATCCACTTTTGACCTCTGGCATCAATAAGTGATTAGAGAACTGCCGCTCACCGACTATTTTCTCTTCTTCTGACTATCCTCTGTAAACAAGATGGTTGTCTGGGAAAATCCCAGTAGTTCAGCAGTTTCTGAAATACTCAGACCTGCCCCTCTGGCACCAGCAACCACACCACGTTTAAAGTCTCTTAAATCACCTATATTCCTCATTCTGACGTTCAGTTTGAACCTCAGCAGGTCCTCATTTTCCACAGTGATGCATGCACACACACAAGACTAAAAGAAGACTTATATAAAACCTTTCACTGCTATCAGACCAGCACAAATGAGTTGTCAAACCACACCTATATTCAACTGCAACCTTTACACTGACCTCATTTACACACCAGTTTCATGGTCACTTCCACCTCATCAGCTGTCCCCAAGGCCCCACTTGGTCACAGTGACACACATATACAGGAAACAATAAAAGAGAAAATAGGGTTGGTGCAGTATTTAATATGTGTTTATACTCAGGATAAATATACTTTTATACTAGCAGTTACACATAGGTTAAAAAGTACTTGATAGGGGTTTAAGTTTATTAGACCTGTGGTTCAGATCAATGCGCTCTGTAGGGCAATTGCTGCTGTTAGCTTTAGCAGCTTTGTTATCGCGCCTTTGAAAAATAAAAGGAGCAAAATGACAAAAACCGAGAAGAATTGGACAAAACATTCCACACACACTGAACCTGAAAAGGGTCAAATAGGATTCCTGACCTCATAAACTCCCAAACAGCTCACACATGCAAACACATTTATACTCAGTCTGCTCTGGGATGCTGAGCTGGGAGAAGCTGCTGATACGCAGCGTTAAAGATTAGCCTGCGTCAGATCAAGGAACTGTGGTCTGCTGCCATTCTTGTGGAAACCTCCAGTGCTGACACAAGAATATGAGCAGGCCTTGGCTCAGCGAATAACCCACACTGTATACCGGCAGTCCTGCACTGGTCAGCAGATTATCCCTCGGGAAGAGGCTTGACCCCTGGTAAACCTAGAAGGCTAAATTCTCTCCACAGCAGGAGTTTTACCAGCCGAGGAAGGCACAAGAAAGTGATTTCAGGCTGACACATGTAAGGTTATATCTCCAAAAAACATCTGATATATATATATAAAAAAAAAGAAGAAGAAGTGTAATATGCAACACTTGTTTTGTGAAAGGATTAAATTCCTGTGTAAGTGCACCATAGATCAGTCCCCGCTGCTGAAACCCATATGACACAAAACTCTCTACACTGCTCAGCATGAGCTGAAACTCACAGGCACCATCACTGCTCCCAAATCACTGACATCACAGCAGCTTTAAGGACGAGGGGCTTTATCTTCATCAGGAACTGATTTACATGTGCGAAACTAACGCACTTCCTGCTTCCGTCTGACCACATTTCATTCGACAATAAAGCCACCTGACTTTCTGATTTTATCTAATGTATTGTATTATTCTTCATAGAGGTTTACAGATTTCTCTCATGTGTGTTTCAAGCTTTTCCACTGCAGATGTTTTCCTACATCAAAGGCAAAGCACCTGCTGTGGCATTCCTCCATCCGGCGGGGCTACAAGTGTAATATGGAAATTTTAACCCGAAGAGAACAATGAAAGCAGCAGCAGCTTTATGTGGAGATATTTTTACTGACCTTGAAGCTACGGGGAAAATCATTGTGGAGTTTGTGCTGACTAAATTGACAGAGATTTTAATCAGTCCAAAGCAAGACAAGAGCAAATGACGTTGTAATACGAGTATTCAGCAGATTTGAGGTGAAAAACATAAATGAATAAACAGAGGAGAACACGGGGAGGGAAACATGTGGTTCGGATTTAGGCTTAATGTTGCAGCTGTTTCTTTTTTTTTTTTTTTCCAAATCATAGAAACAAAACAAGTCCAGGAAAGAGCCTGTATGTAAAAGATGGAAGGCATCACAGTGATGTTTGCATTATGTAGCATCAAACTGACACATCCAATTTTGTGACTCTAAAAATTAGCAAAACTTCAAAAGTGAACTTTATATTTTATCCAAAATAATCTGAAACTAGTGACTGGATCCAAAATTTAAACACAGGGGTCCCCCCCCGTGTTTTATCCAACTTCCAAACACATTTGCAAAGGAAAACAGAGCATCTGCTTTATAAAACAAAACCAAACAGGGAAAATTAATGCAATGTTTGTTTTTGTAAAAAAGCAAAAATCCTAATTGGAAGTCAAATCAGATTACTTTGCCATCCACAGTAGTGACTATTTCAATGATGTCTTTAGACATAACTACAAAATCAGTTTGTAAAAGCATAATCTTACCTGGTAGGCATCGGAGCCCAAACAGATCTCGACTCCTCGCGTTTACCCCGGTCTGACTCAGCATCCTCTCCTGAAGGCAAAGACAGCAGACATAAACATCATTTAATAGCCAAACAAGCTCTGTACAAACGTAAAAATATACCTGCACGTACGAGGCTCATTTTATATTTAACCCCTTCATTAGTTGAAATGAACCTTTGTCCCATATTTGCTCAGATAACCAACCAGCTCCTCAGCCCACAGAGTTCATCAAATCAGATAAGCAAATAACCCTCCTCACCAACACTTTACAGAGACCCTAAACACCACACTGGCAATGAAAGTTTTCTACTTTTGAAATGAATAATCTATTTCTGACCTCGACCACAAACTGTTTACACGAGAAATCCAAATGCAGACAAAACAACAGCGAGTCGACTCCTGGTGGGAGCATCGCGTCACCTCCGGCCTTGATTACATTTAAACCATGGCTCTGGCCGACGCCCTCATTAAAGTCTGACTCTCAGTCTCAGTGGACTTGTTTTCAAAGACAAAGAAACAAAGCCAACCGCACAAAGTCCCATGATTCTTAATTTCCATGTTGCTTTTCTGTTTGTTCCTGCTTTCTCTGGTCTCACGTACTTGAGCAGGACTGGGAGCAGAATCCAAGCCCACAGAGCCACTGAGGTTTCTATAATCAGGCCGTGAGCTTACTAGCACACATGCTTCCACTTAACTTTGCTACTAACCCCCCTTTGTGAAGGCCATTTACATTTATCGCCTTAAGAGCCCATAATAAGCCGAGGTCTGCAATGTGAGAGGATGGTATGATTATACAGGTGGCAAAGAAAGCTTTAAAATAGTACAGAACAGAGGAAAGGCCCAAATTTACATTGCAGAGCCTCAGATTTCTCTCCAAACACTTCTGGCTGCGTTTGGCGCACAGTGAAACTATTAATCACCGTTTAATGCACCGGCTTTATCGTGAAAAGACTCCGAGTCAGCAAGGAGGCGCGAACAATAACAATGAATCCACTCAGTCGCCTGTATTATGCTAACAATTTTGCAGCGTGGTGAATTCTGTTTTAGCGGCCTGCTCGTGAAAACCTGACGCTGTAAGCTTTGTGGGCCTTGATGAAAAGAAGAAACTGGGAGCGCTTGACAAAGAGGACCTTTGCTCCCTGTGAAGGTTGTAAAAATCACACATCATGGCTCTGACTTTTCCGTCTTTCTGTGAGAGCGTCTGGCTGTCTCTGTAGTAAAAAACCCACAAATTGTGCTGCTTGGTACCGATGCTTTTAAATCCATGCGTATGTAACATGTGTGCACGGCTCCATGTTAGCCTTTGGGGGTGTGGCTACGAACGCTTACGCGACATATTGTGTTTTTAATCGAGGCAGTAAATCTGTGAACTTACACAGATTTACTGCGTTAACAGAAACATATTGTGGAAAAACTGGTTAGAAGTATTTTTATTACAATGCTGGTGATTTGACTTTGTGGGGATAAACTTTGCTTACTTCACAGAAATCTTTGCCTTTCCCTGTTATTTTTGGCCATTTCACCAACAACAGTTTATTATAAGGCTTCAATTAAATTAAAACCCAGTCCTGGGGCAGACCAGAGCCTCTTTTGGTGAACACTAAGATGTATTGTGTATATACCAGAGTCATCACTGCCTGATTCAAAATCGGCCTTTGGGAGGCCCATTTATCCGTTTTACCCTTTTCCTGTTATTTCTGGTCATTTAATAAAAAATATTAAATTTATACCTCAGCTAATGAAGCCTCACATGGTTTTTCGTTTTCGTGTTATCAGTTCACAACTTTTTAAGGTGAGTAAATGAAACCTGTTGCTTGTCTTATTGCCAGGCTTTTCCTGGCTCAAACTGAGTGCTCGGGGAGTTGCTGTGCGTGTAAGCGCAACTGTTTTCCATATAATCAAGTCAAAGAGTATTTATTATCGGTATTATTTTGATTAACATGCATGTTCCTATTATTTACAAAAAGGTAAATATTTTGATCACAGCTGTGGTGTTTTTCCTCAGGAAACCCGAAACCTTTTGACATTTCTTCAGCAGGAAAAACTCCTGCGTGTGCACGTGTACTGTAGCTGTTAACTCAAAATTTTGGTGACGTTTTGAAAACAGAACAATAAAATACTACGAGCACTTAATAATGTCAAGTTGGAAAATTTCTTGCTTTGAAATCAAAATCCAGACTCTTAAATCTCTAATAAAACAACAGGAATCAGCTAATTGCAGTTCTCCCTGCAAATATTTTCCAAAAGATCATAAATATGATTATTTTCAGCCATTTTACGAGCTAAACTAAAATGAATAAAACTGTCTGCTACGAGACCTCGCTAGAGAAAAACAAAAGTTAGGACACTAAAGTTTTTTTTACAAGCCTTCGTTTGTGCCAGAGCATTGTTCATTTTTTTTTCCCATCTGGCTTTAAAATGTCTGCACATTCTTTCTGTCTCTCCATCAACACCCACAGAAAACCCACATTCCCCTTTAAATACATCAAAGATATTCATTTATTTCTCAAGTCTACATGTCCTCACCGCGAAAGGCGAGTAAACTCACTTTAATAACACAGCAAAACACAAGGTGAAGCGCCGGCTGTGATACGAGAGGAGAGGAATGAATGATTCCCACTTTTAGAACATGTGAAATGCAGAGAATTTAACCTTCACAAGCAAGTTTTGCACAACCAAGGCAAATCAGGAAGAGATAAGGAAAACTGAGATAATGTCTACTTTAACTTAAACATACTTTGACCACAGTAAGGCCGCCCTTAAATCTCGGACTCACGTGTCACTTAAAAACCACATTTCCAGGGCCGTGTTTCTGCTGACATGTCACTTTTGCTTTCATTGTGTGGCTTTTGAATACCCTACTATATCACTTTCATTGCCCACCCCCACCCGTCTCCCTCTCTGCCCCACTTTTGCCCTCCTCAAACTCCCTCCCTCTTATCCTCGGGGACTGTGGCCAGGGCTTATTGCAGTTTCCATTGCTCATGGCTTCCCTTTGCTACTGCAGCCAGACTTCTGCAGTAAGCGTGCCTTGTTCCTGGGTCGGGAACAAACTTCTTTCCCCAAACACGTGGCCAAAATCACGAGGGAACAAACTTATTTTTTGGTAGACATACATCTCATCATGTTCCATTTTCATTCCCTATATTTAAACTGCTTACCGCATCTTAAAAATTATTTTAATTTGCATCACTCTGAGGAGTCTCTGCTTCACCAAAAGTCTTGAATGGCGATCTAACCAGTCCAAAAACAATGATGTTGAAGTTAAATATCCTCAGTTGGTGGAGAAGGAATTTTATTTGCAGTCTTTTACCAAAACATACAGTTAAAATTTGGACTCTATTGTTAATATGAACAATCCTGGGTCTATTTTGAAAGCTACCCCCACTGTGTAATGCCTGGCTTATAGCACACGCACATTAGCTTTTAGCCACCATTCTCCCACAGCCTGTTTATTTATATTGTGCTTTTCATTTCCTTACATGAATGAGGGAAGTCACATGGTGACTCGGAAGGAAAAATCAGGACGTGATGCAGTTTTGCTAAACAGGGACCACTTTGAAGTGTTTTTCTCGGCAGACATAAAACAGAACGTTGGATTTGCTTTAGAGCTAGACCTGTGATATTTTACTGTAGATGATACCACAGAAGCAAAAGATCTGATAGAATCGCACTCAAAAGGAAAAACCTGAAGGGCAACCAACCTCTGTGGAAATGCACCAAGCCTTTACTAAATGCTGACAAACAGCAGAATTTCAGCCAAAGCTCCATTTGATCTTAATAAAAGGAAACACAGAAATTAGAGAAACTGTTTATTAAATATATTAAATTATACATCAATATTTATCAATCTTTAATGAGCTGGGCATTCTAGTGGTTAATATTTAATGTGGAAATTGATGCGTCGGCCTATAGTGAACATCCAGTTTAACCCATTTCTGTAGAAAACCTTGAAGCAATCATTCTAAATCTTTTATCATGACTGTCTGCTAACAAGACTTTGTTATATATATAAAAACACTGTCAGTGTAGACATAAAAACACTGATAATAACGATGTGTTTATGGTGTCCCTGCACCAGGAATGCATTTCCTACATCAAACAGCGGCCCCCACAAAGCAAGTACCATAACAAACCATATGCATACAATTGGACGCACTGTCAAAGTCCTCCCACAAGCAAATCTCACAATTCAGTCGTTGTTTTGCTTCACCAAGTCCGAGGCCCACTTACTGAGCTGGGCCAACCAATTTTAATTTTTATTCAAATTGTGACTTTTGTTCGAAATCATTATTAAATCAGGATAAATTTGTTCCTTTTCTGCACTCATGAATATGAAGCTCTTGTCTTTTGAATCAAACCAACTCCTTCCTTCACAGCAACGCCTCCATCTTTCCATAACAACTCAGACTCACTCACAGTTTAGTAGAGCTCGGGCTGGAAAGACGATCTTTCCACAGAACAAGTAAATTCCAAGAAACGTTTCATTGATTAACCTGTGATCAGGATCATTAAGGCAGCAGCTGCCTCTGACTGTCTCCAATATCAGCTACATTTAAACTGAGATTATGGTTTTTGATGTAACTGAGCAGCCCAAGAAAGACCAACAACTTCAATTTCAACGGTCACAGGACTTTTTTCTTTTACCATTAATGGGACGGTGACTAAAAAATGTTTGACGCTGGACTTGTGGCTGATGTCCAGCCCTGATGTCCGGTGCACTTCAAAATGTAACGCTAATTTACACAACGGATACAGTTAGCCAAGAAAACGATGATTACACATCTTTACTAAGATCATGTGCAGATATGCCCTGACACTGCGGTGAACTCTGGAGCTTCGATCAAAGGTTAATGTTAAATGTTTCCAGCTATCGGTTGTACTTTGGAAAGAACTGCGGGTTGGTAATTGGTTTAAACAAACCATTGTGTCTCCACTACGATTTGTAATGTGTCTTGAACTTTGACCCTCAGCTTGAATAAAAAAGAAAAAGAACACAGATGGTCTTTCATTATATCTGCCTCTACATTATTCCCGTCTGGCTGTGGT